ACTTGGGAGGCGGAGGCAGGAGACTCGCTTGAGCCTAGGAGTTGGAGGTTGCTGTGAGCTGTAATGCCATGGCACTCTACCCAGGGGGACAGCTTGAGGCTCTGTCTCAAAACAAAACAAAAAAAGAGATGCCTGAGGGTACATCCACATTCCACGAGGCTTAAATCCCAGTCCTTTACTATCCCTAATCTCCTCGAGGACTCCCTGTGCCTCCCAGGCCTTCTCCTGGGCTCTCTTCCCTTACTGCTAAAGTGGAGCCTTTGGATATGACAGCCTCAGTGAATTCTTGCAGCTAAGTGTCTGGTCAGGGCCACCCACTACTGGATGCTGTGCTCTCTGGGTGTGCTTTGTAGACCTACAGAAGATGGGGGCTACACCCTAGGCTTACCTAGTTATGAGTCCCAAGTGTGTTATCCTCTAGGAGAGCCAGGGAAGGAGCTCTGGTTCTGATGCCACACTTGGATTAGTGTGGTCTGAGGCTGGAGGGGAAGCCCAGGCCTCTCTAACAGCAGACTCATTTCAGATGAGGATGATGTGCACAGATGTGGTCGCTGCCAGGCGGAGTTCACAACCTTGGAAGACTTTGTGCAGCACAAGATTCAGAAGGCCTGCCAGCGAGCCCCTCCAGAGGCCCTGCCTACCACCCCTCCCACCACCTCGCTGCTGGGCCAGGAGGTGAGTCCTCACTCTACTGCTGCCATGTGCACACTTCTGACGTGCACAGGACAGAGATAAGCCAACACATATCTGTTTGTTCATCTTGGCTCATCTGACAGGAGGAGGAGGAGGAGGCAGTGTGCCAGGACAGACCTGTGCAGCTGGTTCCTGGGGATATGTGGGCGGGCAGAGGTCAGGCGTCTAGCCGTAGGTGAGGGAAGGTCTGGACTGTGCCACAGAGCCTGGTGGTGCTCTGGGGTGTTCTGGATTGCCTAGGGTGGCCTAGCTTTCTTGGCAGCCTCTGACCAAAACCTATACAGTTAGGGTACTGGCATTTCTTCTTTCTTGGAGATTGGGGGTCTCTCTTAACTTGCTTTCCTGGTGGCTTTTTTGTTGTTGCCTTATCTCTGTCTTGTGCACATTATTCTCGGGGATCCTGCAAACAAAACATGGCCCTATGTGTCCTACCACCTGGTGATGAAAATGGCCAACTTTGGGTGGCGCCTGTGGCTCAGTGATTAGGGCGCCAGCCCCATATACCAAGGGTGGCGGGTTTGAACCCAGACCTGGCCAAATTGCAACAAAAATATAGCTGGGCGTTGTGGTGGGCACCTGTAGTCCCAGCTACTCGGGAGGCTGAGGCAAGAGAATCGCCTAAGCCCAAGAGCTGGGGGTTGCTGTGAGCTGTGACGCCACAGCACTCTACCAAGGGTGACAAAGTGAGACTCTGTCTCTAAAAAAAAAAAAGTGGCCAACTTTGTTGAGTCCCCATGTTGTGCTTGGGGATGTGCACACACAGTCTTATTAAATCCAAATCCTACAGCACCCTATAACATAGGGGTTCTTGTCGTCCTCATTGTAGAGAATCAGGACAGAAGACTCAGAGAGGAGGTAGTGGTCACCTCAGAATATATTTATCATGTGACCAAGCTTAGATTGCCAACTGTCAGCAAGGAGTGGCCTAGATGACATTGGAATACACATCATCTCAAGACCCTGTACTTGCCCCTTCCCAGAGGGCCCTGCTCCTCCTGGAAGGCCCCTGGCCTCACATCTCTGGGCCTTCTCAGACTACTTGGCTGGGACTAGTGGACTGCCTGCTTCATCTTCATCCCTGCAAGCCAATTCAGCTCTGTTCTGGGATTGTTGGTCAGATGTTCAGAGTACCAGGTCAGCCCCAGTGGCCAGAGACATTGGAATAGTGGAGTCAACCCCACTGGTCCAGGGTAGTATAGCCCAGGTTGGGAGTCAGATGCCAAGCATTGGTCTTCTGCGGAAAGATGAAAACTCCTGCCCCAGCCACCTTCAGGACTGCACTCTCCAGGTCTGCTACTCCAGGCCTCTTTTCTAGGAGCTCTGGAGCCCACAGACAAGTCCCCTTTGTTCCTTGCTCCTGCTTGGTAGGTGGTGCCGGTGGCGACTGGCCCAGAGGAGCCCATTACCGTGGCCCACATCGTGGTGGAGGCAGCCTCTCTGGCAGCAGACATTGGCCATGCACCAGATCTCATTGGTAAGCCAGGAATGGCCTTGATTGGTGAGTCTGCTGTCCATGTGTTGCTAACATGATAGCTATTTGTGGTCAAAGCCAGAGAATGGGGGCCTTCTGTTACCTATAACCTGCTCTCTCCTGAGAGCATAGCCTGGCCAGGAGGAGGCTGAGGCTTCTCTTGAGCCTTCCTCAGGGCATAACCTACAGGAGGATGGAGCGCTGAGCTGGACCATTGGGAATTAGGAACCAGGCCCTTCCTCAGTGTGTCCATGGCATACCCTGGCATTGGGGAGACCAGTTTGTGTTTCATCATGAGCTTGTTATTCTCTCCCAATTACTTTCCCAAGCTGTCCCTGCTCTGGTTCTCCTGGAATATTACTCACTTCTCTGCCAACCCCTTAGGCAGCATCCACCAGGGACGCCCCAGGATGGCCCACCTGCCCCAGCAGTGGCCTTAGAGGGTAGATGCGGGATGGGCTGAGTACCACCCACTGCTCCTGCCGGGCCCTGACTCATTGCTTGACCATGGTCTGTACCTCCTCAGCACCTGCTTACTGCATGGGGGTGGTGGTAGCTGTCCTGATTTTCATGGGGCTTTTATAAGCTTACAAGCCAAGCCTCTTTGATGGCTGTTTTTTAAGTTAAAACACCTCATTCATGTGGAGGGGAGAGGGGCATTGAGAGGTCTGAGTTGAGTCATGCTGTCCTTTTTTTTTCTTCTGAGACAGAGTCTCACTCTGTTGCCCCTGGTAGAGTGCCATTGCATCATATCTCACAGCAACCTCAAACTCCTCTTAGGCTTGAGCAGTCCTCTTGCCTCAGGCCCCTGAGTGGCTGGGACTACAGGTACCCATGACTCTGCCAAGCTAGTTTTTCTATTTTTAGTAGAGACAGGGTCTTGCTCTTGCTCAGGCTGGTCTTGAACTCCTGACCTCAAGCAATCCATCTGCTTTGGCCTCCCAGAGTGCTAGGATTACAGGTGTGAGCCACTGCGCCTGGCTGGGTCAAGCTCTCCTTATTCAGGGAGGGAGGACATTCAAAGGACAGCTAAGGGTCTGGATAGGTGGGAACCACAAGCTGTTCTAGGGGTAGGGATAAGTGGCTGGGTGTGCAGGTGGTAAGGAAGGGAACCCAGGTTGGGCCTGATGTGAGAACTTGGGAAGGGCATGGCTATTGCCTGGGTGCCTGTTGGGCAGGGGCTGCACCAAAGGAAGCAGGTTGGGGCAATAGGTAGAACATGGCTTTGGGAAGCCCTGGGGAGTGCTATGGTGGGAAGAGGGCTGGAGGAACTGTGGCAGAGGCCAGCCTTGGCCTGGGGAGGGAACCTATGCACTGGCTGCTCTCTGTGAGGCAGCAGGAACACTCGTGGTTTCTAATTGCCTTTCCCCAGAATTCTTGTGATAAGGACACTCACCTGGGCTAATAATACAGGAGGAATAGGAAAGTGTATGTGGGAAGTGGGTTGTGCTCCATCCCTTGTGGGGTATTTGATTTCTGTGGGGGGTGGCATCATTTGGGAGCCCACATTCCCTGGTTTGGGTAACTGCTTCAGGTCCCTTCTCCCTGACGCTGGCCTCCAGTGGTTCCAAGCCTTGGCTCGGCACGACTGTCCCTCCTGATGCTACAGGGGCCCCTCTATGGGTACCCCTGCCTCTCTTGTACCTAGTAATTTTCCTTTTGCAGGCATCTTGGGTGCCTTAGCATGCCCCTTGGCTAGTTAATGGGTACAGTGGGCTAGGATCCATGGCAGCCAGCACTTCTACTAGCTTCCTGTGGAGACCAGCTGCCAATGGCTCAGGGTTGGTGCAGGAAGGGAGGAGAGCAGGGGCTGGATACCTAACTCCAGGCCCTCCTGCCTGTCCCTTGGAAACAGACTGTGTCTCCTCTCTGAATTTGGGGTGGCCATATTCCCCTTTGCATCCTTGCTGGCCAGAGGTTTCTGTCCTTTTGGAAGTTTGCTTCTGGGATATCAAGCATGTCAGCCAGGGCATGGACAAGAGAGGCCCTTAAGTTTTTCTGAGCTATGGCACTTTCATTCTGTTTCAAGAGAATGGCTTGTCAAAACAAGATGTCAGCCTGACTGAGACAGTTTCTAAAATGTGGTTTCACAGCTGTTTCCCACTTGTCGTCATTATGAGCAGAAAACATGAAGTGTGTTTACAGCCTGTCTTTGCATATCGTCAGATTTCCTCAACACCCTTTGAGAAGTGCAAAAGCTCAACTTCCTTTGCTCAAGCTGTCCCAGGTGTCTGGAAAGCATTCACTCTCCCAGCCTGAGTGTCCCCAGTTTGCTTAGGGATGGGGCTCTAGCTGGACTTGCCCACCTGCCTGCTACCAGTCTAGTGGGTGGCAATCCGCAGAAACATTTGCTCTATATTGGTGCTGGAGAGATGGCAGCAAGCCAAAATGGCCTGTTTAATGTCTGTGTAATCTGGCACCTTGTCACCAGGACCTGTATATATCCTCTTGGCTTAGGGATTGGGGAATCTGTGCTCATGGTGGGTCTCCCTACTTGACACATTTCAGGGACCCTGGAGCATCTCTGGGGAGCTTCATACCATCAGAGGGGGGTGGCCTTGTCCAAGTAGTGGCTTCATAGCCCCAGCAGTCTCTCTGGGCAAGGATCCCATCGAGGTGGCAGAGCCTATGGTGGGTCCCAAGCTTAGGCTGACTTGCCTCTTCTCAGGCGGCGGGCATATCAAAGAGGTCATTGTGGCTGCTGAAACAGAGCCAGGAGACAGTGAGATGGCAGAGCCCCCAGGCAGTCCCCACCGACAGGGGCTGGGGCTTACTGGGGAGGGCGAGCAGGCGCAGGTCAAGCTAATGGTGAACAAGGACGGCCGCTACGTGTGCATGCTGTGCCACAAGACCTTCAAGACGGTGAGTCCCAGGCCTTGAGCTTGGCAGGCCTCCTTCCTGCTTCCCCTAGGGAGGGGCCTGAGCCTCGCTGCCTCTCCCCCACAGGGCAGCATCCTCAAGGCCCACATGGTCACCCACAGTAGCCGCAAGGACCATGAGTGTAAGCTCTGTGGGGCTTCCTTCCGCACCAAAGGCTCACTCATCCGGCACCACCGTCGGCACACAGGTGAGCCTGGCTGGGGCCTTAGAACCAGAGCCATGCAGTACCCTGTTGGTACCCCACTCCGGGTGTCTGTCTGGGACTGACTCAGTGTTCTCCACAGACGAGCGCCCCTATAAGTGCGCCAAGTGTGGAAAGAGCTTCCGGGAGTCAGGTGCGCTGACCCGGCACCTCAAGTCTCTTACCCCATGCACAGAAAAAATTCGCTTCAGCATGAGCAAGGATGTGGTTGAAGGCCAAGAGGATGTACCTGCAGGTCAGTGTGGTGGGGGCGGTGCCTGGGTCACTTGGGGCTGCTGTTCTTGGCCCTGGTTGCTGGCCCATGAGGGGCTCTTCAGGGACTTCCTTGGCTCTGCTTTAAAGGATCTGGAGCCTCTACTGTGGGGACAGTTACATCATCATCGGCGACAGGGGAGCCTATGGAGACTTCGCCTGTGATTCATCTGGTGACAGATGCTAAGGGAACTGTCATCCATGAAGTCCATGTCCAGATGCAGGAATTGCCCCTGGGCATAAAAGCCCTGGCCCCAGAGGTGGGGGGAGACTGGGGGTCCCCTGAAGGTCTACTCTGTCCTCTGCTTACTCAGTGTTAGCCTTTGTTCTGGGCTTTGTCTCCAGCAGGACCCCCACCTGCCTCTGGGCTGCCTTCCTGGTGCTCACTGGGTGCAGGGGGCGCAGGGACAGTGGCGGCGATGACAGGGATAGCTTGTCAGCAGACAACACAAGAGCACACAGCGGGGGTGAGGGAGGAGAGTGATCTGGGGTTGAGGTGGGCAGATGGGGGTGCTATGGGGCTCTGAAGGTGTACACAAAGGCCCTAGGGCTTTGCAGCCTGGCAGGGGTCTGCTCTGCAGGGTGAGTGCATTATGCGGGGCTGCCTGGCCAGCCTCCCTGTCCACTTCTTCCACAGCCCCCAGTCCCTGAGGAGCTTCCATGCCCGGGTGAGGGCAGCCGTGAGAACCTGCTGCGCCAGGCCATGCAGAACTCCGGCATCGTTCTGGAGCGGGTTGCTGGGGAGGAGGGTGCCCTGGAACCAGCCCTGCCTGCTGGATCTAGTCCCCAGCCCTTGGGAGATGGAGCTCCAGAACTGCCGCTGCTGGAGGTGCAGCCGATGGAGACAGTAGGTGCCTGTGCTGCCAGCACATTCTTTCTAGATCTGGTCATCCTGGGTGCTTGGGCACCATACCAGCCTGAGCTTCCAGCCTCCTCACACTCAGTAGCAGAATGGTGTTGCTTTCTGCTGTGACACTGATATGTTTACTGTCTTCCTTGGGGCCACAAGGGAGCCCACCAGGATGGGGCTCATGGTTATGTCCTTGTTACTTCTGGGGCACAGCCTACAATGGGTGCTGGAGGCCTGCCTGTGGTGCCCCAGCAGGTGGCCAGTGAGGCCTCAGCTGTGCCCAAGACCCACCCATGCCCTCAGTGCAGCGAGACCTTCCCGACGGCAGCCACCCTGGAGGCCCACAAGAAGGGCCATGCAGGTGGGTGGCAGGAGGGGATGTGCATATGGGTAGTGGATGGCCTGTGAGTGACCAGGGTGGGCCTGTGGGTGTCCAGGGTGGCCTGTGGGAGGGCAGCAGCTGGCTAAAAGGTCCTAGGGGTGGTGGGCTGGGCCTGATGCAACATGTGACCACAGGGCCGAGGCCGTTTACCTGTACACAGTGTGGCAAGGCTTTTCCCAAGGCTTATCTGCTCAAGAAGCACCAGGAGGTGCATGTGCATGAGCGCCGCTTTCGCTGTGGGGACTGTGGAAAACTTTACAAGACCATCGCCCATGTGCGTGGCCACCGGCGTGTCCACTCAGACGAGCGGCCCTACCCTTGTCCTGAGTGTGGCAAACGCTACAAGACAAAGGTGGGCCTCAGGCCTCAGGACCCTGGTACCTGATTCCCTGTCCTTTAGCTCCCCAGCCTTGGGACCAGATGCCCCCCATTCCTTGCCTCCACTGTCCATCCTTGCCCCCCCACCCTCTAGACTGTGCAGTTTCAGGCCCAAGCCCTCATTGAACCCAGAGGCGGGTGGGGAGAGCCATAGTCTGTTATGGCTGAGCCCAAGCTGGCACTGACAGTGGGTTTCCACAGAATGCCCAACAGGTACACTTCCGGACACACTTGGAGGAGAAGCCACATGTGTGTCAGTTCTGTAGCCGCGGCTTCCGGGAGAAGGGCTCGCTAGTACGGCATGTGCGCCACCACACAGGCGAGAAGCCCTTTAAGTGTTACAAGTGTGGCCGTGGCTTCGCGGAGCATGGCACACTCAACCGGCACCTGCGCACTAAAGGTCCGGGCTGCCAGGTGGCAGGTGGTGGGAGCGGGCCAAGGACCAGGACCCACAAAGCTTTGACTGAGTTCCCTTACTGACAGGGGGCTGTCTGCTGGAGGTGGAGGAGTTGCTGGTGTCTGAGGAGAGCCCTGCAGCAGCCACCACTGTCCTTGCAGAGGACCCACATACTGTGTTAGTGGAGTTCTCATCTGTGGTGGCTGACACCCAGGAGTACATTATTGAGGTGCGTGTAGAACCTGTGGGCTGGGATAGGGCCCAGGGCAGCCAAAGATGACCTTTGACCATCTGCCCAGGCCACTGCAGACGATGCTGAGACCAGTGAAGCCACAGAGATCATTGAGGGCACGCAGACAGAGGTGAGGAGTTGTGTGAGGGGTGGGTTAGTCTGGCTCCTCTTGTCTGCTTGGGCTAAGGTGTGGGTCCTACAGGTGGACAGCCATATCATGAAGGTGGTACAGCAGATCGTGCACCAGGCCAGTGCTGGGCATCAGATCATCGTGCAGAATGTGACCATGGACCAGGAGGCAGGGCTGGGCCCAGAAGCATCTGCTGCTGACACTATCACCATCGCCACTCCTGAAAGCCTGACAGAGCAAGTGGCCATGACGTTGGCGTCAGCCATCAGTGAAGGCACTGTGCTCACAGCCCGAGCGGGTGCAAATGGCACTGAACAGGCCACAGTGACCATGGTGTCATCAGAGGATATTGAGATTCTTGAGCATGCCGGTGAGCTGGTCATTGCCTCACCAGAGGGTCAGCTGGAGGTGCGGACTGTTGTTGTCTAGCATGGAGTCCTGTGGGTCCCTGCTGGGCTGGAGTGGGGTCAAAGACTCAGTACCCTGCCTGTGCCTGCATGGCCTGGTAGAGAAGGTGGCACAGAACTCAGATGTTCAGAGAAGGGAAGTGTAAATACAGAGTTTTTCGTTGCTTTACAATAAAATATGCAAACCTGCAGCTTGTGATATTGCGGCAGTGACAGCTCCAAGGCTGGCTCGTCACCTTGCAAGTTCCCTGGAAATAGCATTTGCCTGCCCAGGCCACCCCTAGACTCAAGTGCGTGTCCATCCTGCCCAGGGGCTCTTGCCAGCCCTGGTGGCGCCTTGGTGGTGTGTGGGTGTCACTGGCATGTTAACAGGCAGCTACTGCCCTGCCCTGCCCTGCCCAGCTGGACCTGTGACCTGGCTTCCTCAGGCCTGTGGTATGGTGGGCAGAGGGTGCTACTGCCCAGACTTCAGCCCTGGGGGTGCTGTGGGGTTGGGCTGAGCAGCCTCGGCTTGTTACCCAGAGGAGTGGATGTGGCTGGATGTGGGCTGGGCTCTCCTGAGTGCTCTTTTTATTTTCATAAGTTGATGTAGCTCTAGCAGGCAGATCTGGCGCTTCATCCTCTGCTGACCCTCTGTCAGCCCTGATGCTGCCCTTGGGGAGCTGGCAGGGACTTCTGGTCTATTTCTGGGACCAGGTCTGGAGCACTAAAGTTGGGTCAGGCAGATCCTTTGCCTCTTGCCCTCGGGGTCTCCATGGAAAAGAGAGCCCTGTTTTCCAGTATCCAGCTTCATTGAGGGGGCGGGACCAGCACAGCTGGCTCCTCCCTGGACTAGGGCCTCAAATACCTGTGGTGCCCTGATGCCAGAGCTGCTTCCGGACCAAGTCTGGGCAGTAGGTCCTGTGCTGGCACACACCCCCAGGCTGGACCCAGGATCCCTACTGGACCAGGCCTTTAAGCCTCTGTGATCACTTCATCCACATCCTAGGTGAGTCTTGGGCTGGGGACTGGACAGGATGAAGGTTTGGCTGTTTGGGCTTCAGTTTGCTCATGCAGCGTCAGAACACCAGGGGCCCAGAGCACAGCGTGTTACCCTGGGGAGATCTGGTGAAGACAGGCAGGTAGAGGATGGGCCTTCACATAGGCCATCCCTACCTGGCTCGTGGTGGGCAGGAGAGGAGTCTGTGTGCCTGACTTCCAGGTCTCTGTTCACCGGGGCACGTCTGCTCCTCCCAGGGCTCACTCTGTGCCATGGGCGGGCCTGGAGCCCTGCTGGCTGTGCTCTGGGCACTTGGGGCCACTGGAGCTGCTACATTGCGCATTGGCGCCTTCAACATCCAGAGCTTTGGCGACAGCAAAGTGTCTGACTCTGACTGTGGAGGTGTCATCTCTCAGGTGAAGCCAGGGCCAGGGGCGGAGATTCGGGGCGGGGCTGCAGGTGTCTGGGCTGGGAGTTACACTGCACCTGTTGGCTCCTCCCCAGATCCTGGCTGGGTATGATGTTACGCTGGTGCAGGAGGTGCGAGACCCAGACCTGAGTGCAGTGTCTGCACTCATGGAGCAGATCAACAGGTATGGTGGGTGGGGTTCTGTGTTGTGACTGCTGGCCAGGATGTCAGACCTTGGTGCAGTGGGCACCTTGACCCCAGGTTTGGCTTGTATCTCTGCAGCATGTCCAAGCACGAGTACAGCTTTGTGAGCAGCGAGCCCCTGGGTCGAGACCACTACAAGGAAATGTACCTGTTCGTTTATAGGTGAGGGACGGGCTTAAGGGAGGGAGTGCACCAGGCCAGAGCAGGCGGCTCAGCGACACCATCTGTCCTCTGCTCCCAGGAAAGACAAAGTGTCGGTAATGGATACGTACCAGTACCCAGACCCCGAGGATGCCTTCAGCCGCGAACCTTTCGTGGTCAAGTTTTCAGTCCCGGGCTTAGGTGAGGCTGGGCCCCCCCTCTCCGCACCCCTGCCCCCCATTGGGTCCGCCCCTGACTCCCTGTCCTTGTCGGCAGCCACCAAGGAGCTGGTGATGATTCCCCTGCACGCAGCCCCGCACCATGCCGTGGCAGAGATAGACGCACTCTACGATGTATACTTGGATGTGATCGACAAGTGGGGCATCGATGTAAGCCCCTTGTTCTCCTCGGTTCCGGGGTCCTAGTATGCATGCCCTGGGGTTCTGGGCCATCGAGGGTGGAGCTGGGCAGCCCCTCTAGCGGGCTCACCCAGCTCTGTGGTGCCTACAGGACATGCTGTTCCTAGGAGACTTCAACGCTGACTGCAACTATGTGCGTGCGCAGGACTGGGTCACCATCCGCCTGCGCAGCAGCGAGGTCTTTAAGTGGCTCATCCCAGACAGCGCCGACACCACAGTAGGCAACTCTGACTGCGCCTATGACCGCATCGTGGTGTGTGGTGCCCGCCTGCGCAGGAGCCTGAAGCCACAGTCGGCTACTGTGTACAATTTCCAGGAGGAATTCAGTCTGAACCAGACTCAGGTGAGTGTGGGGTGAGCGCACAGGCTGGAGAGCTAGTAAACTGCTGCCCAGGCTGGGGGCAGGGCCCTCGCCAGGATTCATACCTGGTTTTCCCCTCCCTACACTGGGGTTTCCACCAAAGATGCAGTGGAGGATGCCAGAGGCAACTCTGGGAAGGTGGGGCTGTGTCCTAGGGCCCCTTGTTCCCCCACAGTGCCAGTTGTAGGGCCACCTGCACGCTGGCCCTGTCCCACAACTGGCAGCAGTAGGGGTGAACCAGCAGTAGTGGCTACCTCCCTGTAGGGGTAGTGGTTTGTAGACGCCCATCAGCTCTACCCCAGGCAGCTTCCAAAGTGGATCCAGAGGGAGGACAGGCTACCCAGGAAGGCCCCTGAGGTTCTCTCCTTTTTCCTTCCAGGCTCTTGCCATCAGTGACCACTTTCCTGTGGAGGTGACCCTCAAGTCACATTAACAGCACTGAGGCCCAGCCAGGGTGCATCAGCCACACTCTGGAATGGCCCCACTGTGGCTCCTTCAGGGTATCTGCTATCTCCTAGTGAGGCCACAGGGCAGGGTCTGCTGGGCGTGGACAAGTAGTCATCCACACATCATGGGACCACTGAAGAGCCTGATTCACCATCTGTGAGACTTGCTACCACTGTCCACCACAGGGTTGTTGTGAAGAGTCCGTATGAAGGTTATTGGCTGCAGTGCTAGGCACATGTCTGTGATCAGTAAATGAGCACAGCTCAGCCAGGACCATATAACAAGTTGTTTCCAAGGCATCTGTCTTTTCTTTTTTTTTTTTTTTTGAGACAGAGCCTCAAGCTGTCCCCCTGGGTAGAGTGCTGTGGCATTACAGCTCACAGCAACCTCCAACTCCTGGGCTCAAGCGAGTCTCCTGCCTCTGCCTCCCAAGTAGCTAGGACCACAGGCGCCTGCCACAACGCCCGGCTATTTTTTGGTTGCAGCTGTCATTGTTGTTTGGTGGGTCCAGGCTGGGGATTCAAACCCGCCACCTTAGCCGGTTGAGCTATAGGCGCCGAGCCGGCGTCTGTCTTTTCTAAGGATTCAGCCCTTGTGGGGGCATGAGGCTTAGTCCTTGGTCCAAGGTTGGTTAGGGAACAGGAAAGTCTGGCCTGCCCTTTCATGTCCTGGTGGGAATTAGCCCCCTTTGGAAGCCACTGCTCTCTGTGTGTGAACTATAAATGCTTCCAAGAACTTGCACTGTGAGTACAGCTTGGACAGTTATGGTGCCAATGCTTCTGCCAACTTCCTGGGTCCTGAGAGAGCCTTACTTGTCTGTACCCTAGACCCTGTCTCACCCAGCACTGTGTGGAGGTCAGGGAGGCTGGCCCTTTGCCACAGCCGGTCAGTTCTGGAATTTTCAGAAAGCTTCTCTTAGCCCAGGCAAGTGGCTGGAGACTATGTGCTTCTCAAAGAATTGCACACCATGCTGTGGCACAGCCCTTCAAGGATACCTTCGTGTAGTTTCACCTTTAGGAGTGCTGGGGTGGGTAAGGGCTAGTCAGAGTGACTTTTGTAACCTGGCCGAGCCATCACATTAGGGTCAGGACCAAGCAGCCCCATCGGTCACCAGGCCAATGACAGGCACCCAATATGATGGTTTCTGCTTTACTTTTTCTTTTTTTGAGACAGAGTCTCACCGTTGACCAAGCTGTGGCATCATCATAGCTCACAGCAACCTCAACACCCTGGGCTCCAGTGATCCTCGGACTACAGGTGCCTGCCATGATACTCAGCTGATTTTTTTCTATTTTTAGTAGAGATGGGGTCTCACTCTAACTCAGGCTGGTCTCAAATTCCAGAGCTCAAGGGATGCTCCTACCCTTGGCCTTCCAGAGTGCTAAGATTACAGACATGAGCCACTACACCTAGTTTGGTTTCTGGTTTTTGAAACATCTTATCTTCTGCATAATGTGGGAACTGGCCTGAGTCATAGGAGAGGAAAAAACTTTGTTTCAAGAGTCTGGACAAGTTTGCTAAAATAGAACTTAGGAATATCACTCTCAAATTCCCCCACTTTCTCTGAACCACTGTCCCCTCTACCCATCCAAATGAAGCCCACATCTCCAAAGGGTTCTGTGTGGGTCAGGCTGAGACCACCTGGTCTTGTGCCTCCAGTAAACAGGCAGATCAGAGGGATGGGACAACCCAAGGTCTTTATTTATAATTCTCCTTTGGGAAAAGGCTGCCCAGTGTGACCTTGCCAAGGTCCAGAATGGCCCCACCTGCAAGTTCATGATTCTTAAGTCAGGGCAGTGCCCTCCATGGCTCCTGCTGCCAGACAGGCAGAAAAGGCACTCTTGTGGGTGGTGGTGGGCTGTGGGATACTGGCCTGGCTACAAGGAATAGGATCTTCTAAGAAGTCAGAAGAACAAAGAGCTAAAAGTACTTATAAGTTGAGAAATAACCGTGTTTAACTCCGTTGGGACCAGAGGGCCCCCCTGCCCAGGGCACATGTGACTAAAAGCCTCCATGGCACCCCAACTCCTAGCCTTTCTTTTGTTTGAGTTTTTCCAAGTATATCTGCAGGGACTTCTGAATGGAATCTCTGGAGATAAAGCTGACAAAATTCTGGATGTCTGCTTCACGTTGTTTGATCAGGCGGTCTGCTGTGGCCTTTCGCATCATGGCCTTGGTCAGCTGTCGGGCATGGTCTAAAGAAAATGGGTCCAATAGTGAAAACCCACTTTTAGAGAATATTCTCAAGCTTTTTTTTCTTGAGATGGAGTTTCAAGCTGTTGTCCTGGGTAGAGTGCCATGGCATCACAGCTCACAGTAGCCTCCAACTAACTCTTGGGCTTAAGCGATTCTTTTTTCTTTTGAAAGAGCCTCAAGCTATTGCCCTGGGTAGAGTGCCATGGCGTCACTGGTCACAGCAACCTCAAACTCCTGAGCTTAAGCAATTCTCTTGCCTCAGTCTCCCGAATAGCTGTGACTACAGGCGCCTGCCACAATACCCGGCTATTTTTTGGTTGTAGTTGTCATTGTTTGGCAGGCCCGGACCGGATTCGAACCTGCCAGCTCTGGTGTATGTGGCTGGTGTCCTAACTACTGTGCTATAGGCGCCAAGCCATTCCCAAGCTTTATATGCAAGCTCAAACTCTAGTAGGAAACCCAGTGTTTCTGCTGATTTCTTTTAAAAACATACTAGAAGGCTTGGTGCCCGTGCTCAGTGGTTAGGGTGCCGACCACATACACTGAGGCATATGGGTTCAAACACAGCCCGGGCCAGCTATTAAAAAAAAAAACAAACAAAAAAAAAAACAATGACAACAACAACAAAAAATAGCTGTGCATTGTGGTGGGCACCTATAGTCCCAGCTATTTGGGAGGCTGAGGCAAGAGAATTGCTTAAGCCCAAGAGTTGGAGGTTGCTGTGAGATGTGATGCAACAGCACTCCACCAAGGGTGACAAAGTGAGACTATTTAAAAAAAAAAAACAACCAACAAACTGACAAGCTATCTGGCTGTTTATAGACAGTGTTTGCTGGTCCCTGGTCTACATTACTATTATGACCAGTCTTATTTCTATAACACAGACAAGCAGGTTTTCAGCTGCCTTTGTAGTAGGTTGAAAAGTGGATGCTAAAAGGATGAGCATCTTAACTGCCCCTCTACAACCTGTCAAGTGTGACCTTATTTGGAAGAACAATCTCTGCAGATGTAATTAAGTTGAGATCATCATAGGATATGGGTAGGCTCTAAATCCAATGGTGTGTCTCCTTGATAAGGGAAGGGAGAGGGATATTTGAGACAGAAACACACAGAGAGAAGGCCACAAAAGGATGGAGGCACAGACTGAAGCGCTGCAGCCACAAGCCAAGGAGCCTAGAGCCACCAGATAATGGAGAGGCGGGAAGGATCTTCCCCTAGAGCCTTTGGAGGGATGTGGTAAGGGTTTTTCTGGTCTCCAGAACTGTGAGAATAAAATTCTATGGTTTAGCCATCCAGGGTGCTTTGTCATGGCAACCCCAAGACACTCTTAGGCTGCTACTATGAAGAGTCTTGTGTGTATTCATGACTCAGAAAAACTGCAGGTGTGAGAACATTCTGGTTTTGCCAGGGTCAAAGGCTACCTGGCCTGGCCTGGTGCTCCTCACCTGGAATGGCCAGCCAGTGTGCCATCACTGAAAGCGCCATGCTCTGCACCTGGTCCTCAGGCACCACGTGGTCAACTAGGCCTACCTGGAGGGCCTCAGCTGGTGGGAAGAGCAGCCCCAGTTGCAGGGCCCGCTCCGAGGCTCGATGCCCGATGGTGTTGACAAGAGTGTCTTTAAACCTGGCCAGATGCAGATACCCACTCACCTCTTGGTTCTGAAGCTCCCAGGAAGGTCTGTTGCCCCAGAACCAAGTGCTGAGTATGGGTGCAGCCCCATCCTTACCAGAAGGGGGCAACAATGCCCAGCAGGGTCTCATTCAGTCCTATGACAGACTTGGGGCTGTCAGAGAGGATGCGGACATCGCTGGTGAGGGCCATCAGGCATCCTCCAGCTGGGCAGGACCCCTGCAGAGAGGCCAGAACATTCAGACAGTGGAGGTACTGCTGGTCCCAATTGTATCCAAAGGGCTGGTACGAGGACACTGAGGAAGGATGTCCCACTAGCAAACCCCCGGGGCGGGGGGGGGTGGGAGGAAGAGTCTGGGTGTGTGCGAGATAGGCAAAGAACTGGCCCCTAGGGCTCAACACGGGTCTGATTGGTTTTCAAGGCTTCCCCATCAGCCAAAGGACCCTGATGACAGGGCTGTCTGCTCTCAGAGGCCTAAAAAATGACTTCTACACTGTAGAGTAGCAAGCTGCCTTTCCTCTTACAGCTTTTATCCAATGATGAAATGCCACAAAAGCATTTTATTGGAGCTGTGATTTTACATGATGGTCCCATGGTGCATGTCCTGGAAACCCCCAACTCACTCCATGCACCCCTGCCTCAAACAGACCCCTACCTCTGGTCTCTGGTCTGCTGTTGCCTCTCACACCAGCCCTCCCCTCCATCCAGACTTGGCCTTCTGGGTACCTTGCATGGTTGTCACCACCATTCCCCTTGGAGCATACTGGATCCCAAGGTTGAGTTTTGCCCATTGTCCTTCCCCTGGTCAGACCTGAGTTGTGTTTCTGAAATGTGGATCAGATCACCCACTCACCCTGCCACAGCCTCTTACCAGGTCTATGACAGCCACAGGCCCCAGTCCCCACCCAGAAGATCTTTCCTCTCTCTGCCTGTGTGTCCTGCCCAGCCCATCTCTGCTCAACCCTACTGTGGCTCACCTTTTCCACATTATATGGTCTGCAGCAGCACTTACCTATGCATGTCACAGGTCTCCCCAGCTGTCCTCTCTCCTGAGAGCTTCTGAGGGCAGGACCAGGGTCTGCCCCTACCACCCTGGGCTAGCCCCACACAAATCAGTGAGGCCACGTGGGAGTGGGGACACTCACATTGATGGCAGCCACCAGCACCAGGTTGGAGAGGTAGAGCCGCAGCCACAGCTCTTGCACAGCCTTCCAGTACTCAGCATAGTGGCCTGGGTTCCGCCCATACATCTCTCTCAGGTCCAGGCCAGCCGAGAAGACATTGGGGCAGTCCTAGGGGGGAGGAACCAGGTCAGGTGCTGGTCAGAGTCCACATTCCAACTAGCATCACACCACCAGGGCTAGGGTCATATGGAGGCAAGATGATGCCACCATGGAGCCCAGAACTGGAGGCTCTAGAGACTCAGCCCAGACCTTTTCTGGATCCTCTTTCTCTACTTCCCAGCACATTCTTCTCTTCCCAGATTCAAACCAGAAGAGAATAGGCAAGGCAGGCACTGGCCCAGGGAAGTGAATGCACCAGTTCTACGCATACTAGGCTGGCTCTCTACATGACTCTGAGTGTGTGGCCTTCTGCACGCCTGGCTCTGTACACCCAGCCGTCTGGTGGAGGAACTCAAGAGGCATAGGTGAAGCTTCCTGCCAGAGTCTGGAGTGGGTATGTTCTGATTTATTCCAAAAGGTTGAGAAAGCCACAAACTACCATGCAGGTTTGGAGGTGCTGGAGAATGATCTAGGTGGATGACCCAGGTACTGACACGGCTGACAGGGGAGGAGGAGTAGTGAACGCAGATGAAAGAGGAACCCATCACCTGGAGTAAAAGGTCAACTGGCATTCATCAGGGGTCAGCACAAAATTCTGGACATTTGATCCAAGGGTTGTCAGTTAGGAACACAAACTGGGGGCAAAATGTGGAAAAGCCTACTCCCAGGCTCCTGAAGTCACAGCACCTCTGGGCAAATGACAAAGGCACCCTCCAGAACATCTGCATGTTTTCCTCTCGTGGCTGGAGCTCTGGAGGCTGTGGGCTGATCTGTTTCCGCAGCCCAACTCAGCCCTTCCTGAGGGGACAGCTGCTTCTGCTTTGAAAAGATGACAGCTGTGTGGCCTAACCCTCACATTTAGCTTTTCTGTTTTTTCTTACCCTTTTCCTACCACAAGCCCCAGAACCCCTCAGAAAAGAAAAAACAATCCTATTCATTTTATCACTAGCTGAGTGACTTAGCCATCTGCCCCAAAGTCCTAGCACTTGAGGAAACCAAAGGCAAAGTATTTTATTATGGACATGTTAAGAAATAAACCAAAATGCAATCCTCACTGGGGATGTCCTTTGCCAAGCCTGTTTCTGTGAGTTGGCAGCATATCTGTTGCTGTGTGAATAGTGTCCTCCAAAAAGACAAAGCCATGTCCTCACCCCAGTATCCAAGAATGTGATGTTATGTGGAAATAGGGTCTTTGAGAATTTTATCAAGTTGAGACAAGGTCATACTGGATCAGGGTGGGCCCTAAGTCCAGGTGTCCTGATGAGGGGGCTGTGCCTACACAAACACATTGGGGGATGTGTGGAGATGGTGAGGAGGCTGAGTGCTGCTACTACAAGTGCAAGAACATCAGGAAGGTTGGAAGCTGGAGAGGAGCAAAGAAGGGTCCACCCCTAGAGCCTTTAGAGGAAACCAATCTGTTGGTACCCTGACTTGAACTCTTCCAAAACTACAAGAGAATGATTGCCCCCAGTTTGTTTAAGCCACCCAGTCTGTGGAACTTTATGGCAGCCACAGGCATTTACACATCATTCATTGGTTATTTGTTTAGTGCCTGCTTTGGGCCAGGCCTTGTGCTAGGTACACAGTAGGTACTCAGAACAGAATAAAACTCATCGATGGATTTGTGGAGAGAACATGTTTTTTGCAGGAACAAAATGCCAATCTCCCTCTCTGGTGGGATCCTGGGACTTTGGGGATGGAGAGGCAGTGGGACCCCCTCTCTGTGGTGTACACCACACAGAGCCCAGTATGTGCTTGAGGGCTGAGGCTTTGGTGACATCTTTTCTCCTTTCATGCTGAAGGTCCTATATTTAGTGAAATGCAGGCCTCTTATTTCTAGTGCACAATAAAGAAAGTATCTTTATTTTTGTATGGAGTGACATTTAGGGTGGGAGAATATTACAGAAATTTTTCCAAGATGAAAAGTTCCCAGGCAGCTTAGCTGGGATTATGGGATGCTTCCTAGAACTTTTAACTGTCACCAGCTCCTCAACATTACACCCTCAGATGACACAGGTTGGGGGTACCCTCTACCCAGCAGTCCCCTGGTTCCTAGGGGGTCTGGCCTGGAGATCCTCTGCTGGCTCCTTGGTAGGGATGGGTGTCCTATTGGGGGCACTAGGCTCCTAGAAGGCTCGGCGCCTATAGCACAGTAGCGTCAGCCACATAAACTGAGGCTGCTGGGTTTGAATCTAGCCTGGGCCAGTTAAGCAACAATGACAACTGCAACAGAAAAATAGGTGAGTGTCTGTAGTCCTAGCTACTTGGGAGGCTAAGGCAGGAGAATCTCTTAAGCCCAAGAGTTGGAGGTTGCTGTGAGCTGTGATGCCATGGGCACTCTACCAAGGATGACAGCTCGAGACTCTGTCTCAAAAAAAAAAAAATCTGTGGAGGAAGTTTGTCTTGAGAATTTATTTTTTCTTTCTTTTTGTAGAGACAGAGTCTCACCTTACCACACTTAGTAGAGTGTGGTGGCATCACACAGCTTACAGCAATTTCCAACACCTGGGCTTAGGTGATTCTCTAGCCTCACCCTCCTGAGTAGCTGGGACTACAGCTGCCCACCACAATGCCTGGCTATTTTTTTGTTGCAGTTTCGCCAGGGTCAGGTTTGAACCTGCTACCCTCGGTATATGGGGCTGGTGCCCTATCCAATGAGCCACAGGTACTGCGCCTGTGTTGAGAATTTGACTTTAAGACCATTTCAAAGAAAAACTGAGAGCAGGGCCTTTTGCGTAAGTGTCATTAATGGGACTGGCTCAAGGTATTCAGCAGCTCTAAGAGGAGGCACCCTAGAAACCTGCCACCAAGTTCTGTGAAGTGGAATGGGCTCAGGGTTACCCCTAACAAACTCACTCAGTTCTAGCCCAGGCTGCTAAGCACCACATCTATGCCCAGTGTCTGCTCTGACAACTGTGTGGGTCCAGGAAGACGGACTTGGACAGGGGTCTGCCTTCAGAACCACCTGCCTAAGGAATGCCTGCACAATTAAGGGCCCTACTGGGCTGTACCCAGACCACACTTCCTGGATGCCTTTCATGGTAGCTGTCTGGTTATCCTATGTGATGGCAGGCACTGACTATTTTCCAGTGTGGCAACAGGTCTGGACTTTGATCAGATAACTTGGGGCCTTGGGGCTGCATCAAGCACCTACCGAAGTGATGACCACGCCTCGGAAGGCCTTGTCATTCTCCAGCTTCTCCAGGCTGATGAGGAATTCTGTTAGGAAATCCAGACTGAGGCTGTTCACTGGGGGGTTCTTCAGTTTCATTACAGCGACCCCTAAATTGAAGAATGAAGAAGCAATGGCTCACACCTAGCACTGGGAAAATGGCCCTGACTAGCCTGCATCCTCACCTCAATCAGGTCATGGGAAACTGCAGTTTTGGGATTTGTAAAATTGAGGTGAGATCACATAACATAAGTTGACTATTTTAAAGTGAATGATTCAGGACTGGGCATGGCAGTTCATACCTGTAATCCCAGCATTTTGGGATCCTGAGGAAGGAGGATTTTTCTTTTTTTTTTTTTTTTTTTTTTGAGATAGAGTCTCAAGCTGTTGCCCTGGGTAGAGTGCTGTGGCATCACAGCTCACAGCAACCTCCAACTCCCGGGCTCAAGCGAGTCTCCTGCCTCCGCCTCCCAAGTAGCTGGGACTATAGGCACCCGCCACAATGCCCAGCTATTTTTTGATTGCAGCCGTCGTTGTTTGGTGGGCCTGGGCTGGATTTGAACCTGCCACCTTGGTTGTACATGGCTGGTGTCTTAGCCACTTGAGCCACAGGCGCTGAGCCAGAAGGAGGATTATTTAGGCAACATAGAAAGACCTCAGTTCAAACTTAAAAAAATAAAAGACACGGTGTCATCTTAAATCTCAAGTACGTCTAGTCAACAGCTCAATTAAACAGCTGAAGGGCAAGCCACATTGTCAAAATCCTCCCCAGAATCCCTTGCCCCACTTGCTGACTATCCAGACTGGGGTGGACAATCTTTTTATAAAGGGTGAGGGGG